CGAATGGAATATTTAATTATTTAAATATAAATAATTAAATAGGAATATCACGAAATCACCAAGAATAAATAGTACAACGCCGAGGAGAGGCACGAGGATCATCACATGCGGGAAGGATCGAGAAGGAACGAAGAAACGGAAAAGAAAAAAAAAAGATTAAAAAAAAAGGGAGGTTGGTCCGCCGGACCAGGAGTGGTCAGCGGCGGACCAACCCAGGTGGACCCAGCTGGACAGCGCGGACCGGAAAGAAGAAAATTTTTTAAAAAAAAAGATTCCGGTCCGGCGGACCAGGAGTTGGTCCGGCGGACCGGAATCCGACAGTTCCCAGCTCGCTCTGTTGCGAGTTTCGGGACGCGAGAACTCGTCGGAAATTTGATCCACACGCGTCCAGCCACCGTCCGACGCCTGGAGGACGCTGCAGGCTTGCCCCTGGGCACGTGTTCCGCGGTCACGCGGTCCGCCGAGCCAGGAAAGACGGACCGGATCAAGAAAAACACGTCCTGATCCGCCGGACCAGAATCTGGTCCGCCGGACCAGACGTGTTCCGAAGCCCCACGGTCCGCCGAACCAGGGAGAAGCGAGCGGACCAAGAAGAAGGACACGCCTGGTCCGTGGCTGACCAATCCTGGTCCACCGGACCAGACGTGTCGGAGTGCGGACACTCAGACGGACCAGAAGGCGCTGACCGAGAGAGAAGAAGCAGGCCGGGCCGGGGCTGACCAACCTTGGTCCGCCGGACCAGGCCTGTTTTCCTCTCTCGGATCGACGGACCCAGACGGAGCGGACCAGGGAAGAAAGGAAAACTGGTCCGGCTGACCAAAAACTTGGTCCGCCGGACCAGGCTCAGAAACTTGGAAGAAAATTCAACCTTTTGACCGGGAAGGAGAAAACGACCCTCGGGGCTGACCCGGGCCCGACCAGACGTGACTGTGGGTGAACCAAACCATCGACAGAGGGCAGGCTTCGCGATTGGGATCAATCGGAACAAGTTTTACTAAAACGTTGCGTAACGTGGTGAGATGTGTGATATCAAATTACGAGGGATCGTTGTGTGATTGCTTGCGGGTAGAGTTGTATGGCGTTGAACGGTATTCCGGTAGGGACCGGGTACCGTGATATGCGTGGTTGTATCATGGGGATATTGCACGTCGTGTGCCATGTGTGTAGCTTGCTCGTGCGTACGAGCCAAGCGTGATTGTGCACGTCGTGTGCCATGTGTGTAGCTTGCTCGACTCGACATCGGTAGTCACGAGAGTGACGGGCGCAGGAGACGCGCACGATCGCATGTGATGCGATGGCCAACGTCACGCGGGTGACGGGCGTGGATTCGCTCCTGGTCATGGACTTGACCAGGGTATATGGCTAAGCCTTATGGTGGATTCCATACGGGCGTGTTTGTGTTTGCTATTGATGTGATCATTGTGT